GGCAAGATCAGACGGTTTGTAAACACTTTCACAGCTCTTTTACCCTGGTCTTTGTACGATTTACCAACGTCTGTATAATTTATATATTCGTAAGATTACCTTTACGGTTCTTTTATCATTTCAAACCGTTGAATCATGCAGATTTTTTGTTCAGGTACATGGATGTCGTCGAAGCAGACGGGCTCCAAAAAAATCGCACAAAGATTCGTCCAAGATAGTTAAAACAATAGATTTCACTTTCTTTAAACGTCCAGAGATGGAAAATGATGAAAAAGATGGAAAACATTTAAGTGCCATCGATGAAAATCCGTTACAAGATACTAGCGACCTAATTGTTGCCATAGTGACCGACGTGGGCTCATTTTTCAGCGGGCTCTCCAAAACAAGTCCATGTGATTACTCGCTGATCGTGGCGAGATTTTTGGACTTGGACGGTTTCAACTAGGTAAAGTAGTAACCAGGAGCACGCCAGGTTCCTTCTAGTAAAAGGTACAGTTTTCGCGCCACTCATATAATAAGCTTCTCACAGTTTGTACTTGAGATGTTAGCTGAAAAAGAGTTGCTTGCAAGTTAGCGGTACCAGGACTGCTGGCTTGTTGAGAAGCAAGCAGTAGTTTTGCGCATCATTTTCCACCTCACGTCTCTTATTTACGCCACAAATTGCATTCCCTCTCCGAATTTCAAACCAAGAAAAGTGGAAAACCGTCGCCTCTTGTGGTTTGAAGCGATTGTTTAACGCTCACACAGTACAAAAAGGTCTAAAAAATCTTCCAAGTTTGAGTAAATCTAGAAAACAATAGTCTTAAAGGCTCCATGCGAAGTTTGAAACATTTTGACGATGGGATTATACTCTTTGAAAAACACATGTTTGTAGTAAACTTGCTTTTAAACTTATTAATATGCCCCGATAGCTTACCTATTGTTCGTGTTTTAGGCTGATATGGCTGATCAAGACATAGGACAAATCGTGAGTATCCTGGAAAATAGGTCGGAAAAGGGCAGGGGCTGCTGAGTTAGATGCCGGTCAATAAAATATTTATTACCGAGTTTCTTTTGTATCACTGCACTATTTTTCCGGATCCTAGAGAACAGGGAAATCTTTCGTGAACTTATTTGTTATTGACCTTATTTGTCCATTATGACTCACCAGCACGAAAATTTGGAGAAGAGAGAACTGTGACAATAACGGACCCCATTGTGAAAGTTGCACGATCAATTAACGTACATAACAAAACCCTTGAGGTTTCTATACGCTAACGTAGTAGCCACTGGAAAGTACAGGTTTATTATAGGACCAAAGAGCTGGAGATCTTTCTTCATAGAGAATGCTTTCATTAAAAGTTTCAAACAATCAGGGGAAAAAAGTTATTTATCACTGACATCATACCTTACATAGACTGGCAATAATAATTTTAATCAACAACAAACATATGAAACATATGTGTGAACTGCGGTTATGAGACGTATATGTGAACGATCCTTCGCAGTAAAGCACTATTTGAGCAATAGTGAAAATCAGACCTGAAAAAAATTTCAGGCCTGTACGGGATTCGAACCACTGACCTCTGCGATACTAGTGCAGCGCTCTACCAATTGAGCTAACAAGCCAACTGGGAGCAGGCCATCAAATTAATTCGACATAAACCCGTAGATGATAAATCAAACAACAACAAACATATGAAACATATGTGTGAACTGCGGTTATGAGACGTATATGTGAACGATCCTTCGCAGTAAAGCACTATTTGAGCAATAGTGAAAATCAGACCTGAAAAAAATTTCAGGCCTGTACGGGATTCGAACCACTGACCTCTGCGATACTAGTGCAGCGCTCTACCAATTGAGCTAACAAGCCAACTGGGAGCAGGCCATCAAATTAATTCGACATAAACCCGTAGATGATAAATCAAACAACAACAAACATATGAAACATATGTGTGAACTGCGGTTATGAGACGTATATGAGCACGATCCTTCGCAGTAAAGCACTATTTGAGCAATAGTGAAAATCAGACCTGAAAAAAATTTCAGGCCTGTACGGGATTCGAACCACTGACCTCTGCGATACTAGTGCAGCGCTCTACCAATTGAGCTAACAAGCCAACTGGGAGCAGGCCATCAAATTAATTCGACATAAACCCGTAGATGATAAATCAAACAACAACAAACATATGAAACATATGTGTGAACTGCGGTTATGAGACGTATATGAG